TTTCGGTTTTGAAAAATCAAAAATTAAAACAAAATTGGTTTTTCAAAAAAGAAAAATGAGCAGTTTCGTCTTTTTTAAAAAAAGAAAATATTATGAAGTTGAAAAAAATGACATCTAAGTAATAACGAAAAGTTTCAGGTATTTTTGTAATAACAAGAAATATAACAGATATTTACGTATTTTTCCTAAAATCCTCTATTTTTTAGCCCTAAAACCAAATCTACCTTTCTCACCATCCAACTTTTATTTTCAATCAAATAATCTTAAATTTGATTATTTGATTCAAGGTGGGTTGTTCTTCTCTTATGCAGGTCCTTGTAGTGAAGCAACATCAAATGAATTAGAGTTTCATGGCCTCTTACATGGTCTGAGATGTCTTAGGGATTCACATAATGTAATCAATTGGTGCAACAAGTTGTTAAACCACCGTGGACATTCTATTCAATTTGGGCTAAGATTGTAGTTTACATCAAGGATTGATCATCTCTTTTGATTGATCATCTCTTTTGAGCATGTTTTTCGAGATGCGAATGTATTACATATGGCTTGACAAATTTTGGGGTTTATGTGGATACTACTATTGTGGTAGATGAGCTTATTCATGTATAATTTGTTTGTAAACTTTGTTAATAAAATATGGTAGTCAAAAAAATAATAATCTTAAATTTTTTTTAGAAAAATGTGCGGTTTGTATAGAGTTGAGGCTCTAAACAATCAAATTGGAGCCTATCTTCAAATAGTGTCGAGAAAAGTAGTTTCAATACTGGAAATATTTGTGATAGCCTTAAAATATATTTTCATCTTTAATTATAAAATTTAAAGCTTCAAAAATATTGTAGATCGAGCATATCTATGACAACTTGAAAATTGACAGTCTAAAACCATGCTACAGGATGCATCTTGATGTCGAGATGATCAATTTAAAGAAATTTCAATTTAAAGAAATTTGTTTAGAGCGTAGCTCTATATAAACTTTTGAAATGTTTATATTAGAGCAATTTAAAAGATCTACATAACAATTTGTTGGATACAAATCAAAATAAAATAAATTGAGTCCAAACTTCAAGGGTGTTTTGAACCAAAATCAAAATCTTTGATGTTTGTTTTCTCTCATGGTTCCAAGAAATTTGTTCAAATTTGTCCTAAGCTTCTCATGATGATCTAAAAAAGCCCTAACAAATTTTGTAATCAAAACAAAAACTACAAGATCATTTTTTTGCTTTTCTTTTCCACTATTTTTCTGCCGCACTCTCGAATTGCATTGTATCCTAATTGTTTCTTTTTTGTGTTTTATACCTCCTGATAGATGAAATAAAATCAATTTTCATTTGAATAATTACTCTTAATGTTTAGTTTTGTTTTTCTCCTCTCTTTCCCCTCGCCTCAATTAGCCGAGCCGACTAGGACCCGAAAGGGAGGGTACCCATTTTGGGTGCCCAAGCTGGGTTTATAAACACTGATTTGTGGTAAAGGAAGGAGGCCAGCTCTCGTGCTTAGCCACTGAAGTGACGCCAATTGTTCCCTCTCCAGTCAATGCTCAACTAATAGGGCGAGTCCCAAGTAACAGGTTGGTGGGTGTCCAAACTGACAGATCTTTAAAAAAATTCAAAAAATAATTATATAAATTCAAAAAAAGAAAAAAAATTATGGCACGTTTTTGTTTGTGCTCTATCATTTAGCAAAGATTGGGAATTATTTTGGCCATGAATGCTTATTTTGTCATTTTTTTGGATTAGTTTGAAAACACCCTGTCATACATTGATTTTTCAAAATCTATGTTTTACTGCCTTTTTAATATCATTTAGATATATTTTGTTTGATCTTACTTCAAATATATATATTTTTATTTTCTAAAAAAACTTAATTTTTTAAAAAATTTCTAGCACATTTTTTGCCTAGGCAGTATTTGGCCCACTCAGGCCCGGATACCTAAGATGGGTTCCAGGTTACCCAAACCCGGCCTATTTCCAATTTCTGTCGCCAGTTCGTGCAATCAAACACTGTTCCAGTGTCTAAATCACACTATCAGCACGTACATCTTTCATAGAATGGGCTTCTTCAGTGTTGAAAGACAGAAATGCCTAAGCATATATATCCTTGATAAAAATACAAAGGAGCCCAACATTATGGTTACTGCTAAAACATGTCCACAAATCCCTCTCCTTCGGTATAACTTTAAGGGTTAGTTTTCAATCCACAAGTGTATTCATTCCGAAACTAAAATCTTTAGGGTGAATTATGAGATAATTTCAATAGTCTTCCCCCCATAGGAAAATCACAGATTTATGCTTTTATCACTTTGTAGACTTTCTTGTTTGATCCGGTTGCTTCATCTCATGCAATGAAAGAAGGGAATACAAGCTCATGAAAGAAGGGAACCGCACGGCACACGAGCAAGGCGCTGCATAAATGAAATTGGCCCTGAGTATTTGAGCAGTTTTTGAAAAACACATGATGATATGATGGTAAGTTGTAAACGCCATCTCCTACACTGATTTTCTAACAAGTTGAGACTTTTGGGGTGCGTTTGGTTGCGGAATAAAGCTCACCGAAACTTAAATGCACCACTCAGGATAAGCACAGAACTGCTCTTTTATAGTTTTTATCTTAATCCTAAAAAAACGTCAATTCCAACACATAACCTGGCCCAATATCCCACTAACGGCCCCGCACCACGCACCCGAATATACAGGCCCCACATAAAGTCATGCCATCCTCAACTTACAAGCCATTCAATCATGCCCTTAAGGTACCATTAAAGACAGATCGTCCACGATTCATGTATCATGATATCCAAGAATGGTGGCATGAGAACTAGCCATCAAAAGTCCAATGACTCCCCCCTCGTTTCCCCAACAGTTTTTCTCCTATTTGAAAACCGTGCCTACACCTACCCTATAGCAGCTTTCTAGCTCCAAACCTTTCAAGTTGCATCTCCTTTCACCATGAATTCCCTGAGGATTTTAATTTCCAGGTATGGCAGACATGCATGCATATGGATAATCATCTCAACTTCCGTGATTGATTCGTTGCTTAGATCATGCACTGCACATGTATCTCCACTGCATGGACTCATTCATGGAATGATGTCCATGTGAGACAACTTCAATATGCAATATATAGAGCATGTACCAGTCTTATTTACTAATACAGTTGAACTGCTAACCATGTTTGGCTTTTAATGAATAGGGTGAAGGATTAAGACATTACAGATATTTGATACCATGCAAAATAATGAAGAGTTCAGAACCGGGCCCAACATCGGGTGCATTGAGCCATACAATCACCTTCGCAATCCACATTATAGCCAAGAACCTTCGGATTACGAAGGAGAACACTCCGTAGTGTCTTCCCATCAATACCCCAGTGTCTCTCTAGGATACCTACATTCTTCTTCAACTCCTCATTAAGACCGCACCCAAGCACCTCCGGAAACTTCTTCAGCAACTTGTAGAGATCATCATCTGAAATGCCTAGGCTCTTAAGATAATCTACCATTTCATTGACTGAATCACTCTTAGGAACTGTTTTAGTTTTCTCTTCACCCCAGTAAGGAGAGTGGGTCCAACCAAATGCTTTGCTCAAGATGACATCAACCTCCTCTACACTTAAATTTAGCGGAGTGAGAATGTCCCTGCATGCCTGCCACATCTCTCTTTCCTCTTCCGCAAGAACCTCAATGACGGGCTGTGTTTGGGCAGCAGAATATATTTTCCACTTCACAGAAGGAAAGCATTGTGCATTTCCACGAGTTACATACCTCAGTTTGGTGGGTATTGTTTGATTCCATGCACCAAGCTTTAGAGGTGCAGTGCTAAGCGTTGAGTCCGACATGTTCAACTGGATCAATAAGAGTGCATCAGATAGGATTCCAATCAATTCCTTATTTTTTATGGATGAGCATTTGAGAAGCTAAAAACTAAAGGAGCTGCTAAATCAGAGATACAGGTTAGTTATATATATATGAAAAGAAAAGATGCTACGCCAGAGTTGCTGATCAGTACATCTAGGAAAATATACAAATGTGGATTAATAATTTTAACTTGTATAGCTGAGGGCTGTAGTAGGTATAATAAGGCTCTGGTTCACCAATGTGGAACCTTACCTCCAAGGACAAATAACCAAGTCGATGATAACTCTGAGAACTCTTTGACGAATAAAGGATACAAATATCGAAAAAGAAAAGGCATGATGAAAAATGAGGAAAAAATACACTCATGGCAGAGGCCTACAGATGCAAATGGAGGGCATATCGCATACTCATACATCACTAAAGGACTCGGCAACAAGCTTCCCAACATCCCTACTCCTGTAATGCAAAACGATGGAATTTCCTTAATGAAGGAAGAGAGAAGTATGATTAAGAGAAACTGAAATACCCAGTAAAAGGAACAAGAGAATACAAAAGAGAATCGATCAAAAAGTAACTTCATCTTGAATCCTATCATTAGATGGATAACATCTCAGACAGAAACAAGTGAAGTATTGTTGAAACTAAAAGGCATGATTCCATGATGTGATTAGGAAATAACAGGTCAATAACTTAATTGTTCAAAACACAGGGCAGTCATTTTACTTAACTAGTCCTACAAATTTTTTCTGTATCAAAGCTGCTCTTTGCAGCATATTATGTGAATATTTGAGACCTCACATTCTTACAGAAACAATGTGGAAGCAGAATGGATGAATGCTTGTATTATTTGAGGAAGCAATGGTTGAATTGCTTGTATGCAATGAACACGAAACCTATATTGTCCAGATTGCTGCATGAACCAATGTTACATCAATCTACCCAATAAAACCATACCTTCATGCAAGTCTCGCACGAAATTCTTGGGAACCTGCACATAATCAAGTTAGTGCCATTTTACAATTGCTTCGGAGCTGCCTTGATAGTTTTCTCATTTTCGTGAATCTTAATTTATATGCTCTGCAGATGCTCAGGCATCAATATAACCAAGAGATAATCATGTCTCGCTCAAACTTCTCTGTACTGTTCGAATATAAACCATCCTCAAGCAAGGATATGTAAACTAAGTGGACCTGGCTTTGACCATTCATAATTATTCTTGTAAATTAAAGCAGCAATCACGTTTGGCCATCAAATAAATGAAATCAAATTCCTATGGAAAGAGACCCAAAATAAGGCAATAGAGAAAAACGCGAATTCTTTTTACAACACAAACCTGACATATGAATGGCCAGATGGACAAAGACACCGAACAAGCTAACCTGTTTTCTTTTCTTGATGGTGACAACAAACTAGTTTAGCTACACAATCCAATGTTTTTATCAAAATCACTCACAACAGTATCTAAAGAGGTCTCCAATTCATGGTGAAGCCAATCCCTAGCACAGATCAAAGCTTCTATTGTCTCTGGAGACAAAGAACTTTGGTACTGATCGAGTACCTTGCCTCCAGTGTTGAACATGGACTCTGAGTCAACAGTAGTTACACGGATTGCCAATATATCACGGGCCATCTCACTAAGTACTGGATACTTAGGGGCGCTCATTTTCCACCACCTCAAGATGTCAAACTCTTGGTTCCTAGGAAAGAGAGGTTCCTCAAGATATTGATCTAACTCTGATTTTGTTTGCTGGCTACCAGATAGTTCAGAGAGAAATTGATCAAAGTCTTGAAGCCCATCATTGATTTGGAATGAGTTGTTAGAGGAACTTTGGTCCCCATTATATGTTGCCAAGGGAACAGGACCTGGAATATTGCGAGCATACTGACTGTAAAGATCACGAATGGCTTCAATGACAACCCTTGTGTACATGAACGCATTGGTACCATAGACCTTTGAGAAGCTAAACTCCACAAACTTCATTTTGAAGCGTGGGTCCATTGATACAGCAATCGCCAAGACCAAGCTGTACTCCCTCCAATATTTGTCAAATTTATCTTGCAAATTCCTAATTACTGGAATAATCACAATGTCTGGACTTGTGACTGTATGGTTTAGATGCATATGAATTTTCCACAACTCATGGAAGTATAGATTAGCAGTTGGGTGTGTGACTTCTGAGAAGGCACGCAAAACATCATAAAAGACTTTCAAATAAATGCAAAGCACTTCAACTTTTTTCCATTCATCCTCTGACGGTGCTCCCTCGTAATTCGAATCATGTGAGCCTAAGCAAGAAAATGCTTGCTTAAATTCTAAGGCAGCCTCCAACATGAGAAATGTCGTGTTCCATTCCCCCTGAACATCTAGGCACAGGTCCTTCTTACTAGGAATTTCTAGTTGCTGGAAAAGCTTGGAAAAGTTCTGCTCATGTGCCTGGGATGCCTTCACATATTTCACACTTTCACGAATTTTGTGGATGACGTCATTGATGGCTTCCAATCCATCTTGAACAATGAGATTAAGAACGTCAGCACAACAACAAACATTAAACACCCGACCACTCAACAAGAGCATGTTCTTGCTTGAGAGACAGTCTTTGAGGTTACTGCCAATGCAATCATCAGTATGGTGCCTATCTAGTGTCACAGTCGATAACTTGGTCAGAATATTCCAGTCCGTAAGACACGTCAAAATGACATCACTAAGGTCATTCCTGGTAAAAGGATAAGGGAGCATGGTGAAGTTGAGGACCCGTTTCTGTAACTTAAAATCACAATCAACAAAATGTCCAGTAATACGCATGTATTCAAGAGTCTCTTCAGTTGTCCACTTATCCAAAGATAGGCTGATTCGTCCAGGAATTGTTTGCAAGAGTTGCATGAGGCTCTGTTTCTCCTTTTGATAAATAGCAAGACAATCATCACGGACGGTAGCCTGATTTACCATCTTAAACCTTGGTTGAAGACTTTGGACAAAGTTTATGAAAGCAGGGTGCTCAACCACGGAAAGCGGGTACTCATGGAGAATGATCATCCTTGCAAGATCCTCACGGCTTCGAGATTGGTCAAATTTTGGGTTTGACAAGCTGGTGTTCCCTTCATTTTTATCCTTGGGAGTTAAAGTTAAAAGTTCTTGTTTTCTATCTGAATTTCGGTTCTTAGGGCAAATGCCTAAATGCCGTTTGAGGTGGCTGGTTCCCAGTTGCTTCGCACCATTGCCAAAGGCAAAAGTATGAAGGCAATATTTACATCGTGCCTTTCTGCAACCCCCTATAAAAGTCTCCATAGTGAAGTGTTCCCAAACTATTGATGTAGTTTTCCTTCGTTTAGAGGAAGACGATTGTTGTGTTCCCAAAGTGACAGTGTCCTTTTCGCTCAACATGGCAACAATCTGTGTTGTAAAAAGCAAAGTTGTAAGATTTTTAAAATAGTACTCAAAATTTTAAAACTAAAAACTCCATGTATTGACTGTTGATTTGGTATGTTCAACTAGGGACTAAAACAAAAAGAAGAACATACACATAAAGAAGCAGCATTAATTAATAGAAGTATAAAGTACATACAAGTCACGATATTTATATAAAATGACTAATTAATAGGGGGATCAAATTGTAGCGATAAAAATATTTTAAGCCTACTTTACTAAAGATTGTCTGAATAGAAAAAGTACATCTTTACATTCCTGCAGTACATCTAATGCAAAGGAAAATAACTTTAGACAAAGTACTGAAATATATTACCCTTGTCATAAAAAGAAGCAACACGGACAAGCTACAAACTTGTAGCGTATATTTTCCACACTCAAAAGATTCTCCTAATCTACTGTGATCTTCAAGGAGAAGCATGTGGATCTCCCAGCATGGTAACATTACTAATTATTACACTCATATGGATTGAACATCATGAGAATGCACCTTAACCTATAATTTCTACAACCCAGAACACCAAAAATATTGACCACAAACATAAACGAAGCCTTGAAAGTCACACAGACAAATTGAATACTTGCAACGCCAGCATCTACACTAAAAACCAAGATTCTGAAACATGGACTCAGTGGAGTGCCATCTCAGCACTCAATGAGGCCAAGTAGACATCCACTCGAGCCTAGGACTGCGACTCCACACTTCTCGACAAAACACCACAATATAATATAAAAGAAATACAGAAATGGTAAAAAGATAAACTATAGACCATTCAGGAGGATGTAGAAACAATCAATAGAAAAAAGACCTTATTCAGAGGTTTACGCAGCATTGAACTCAAATAAGTATTTCAATGTACTTGAGTTATATTGGATTTTCATAAATTTTCTAGAGGACTGTTGCAAACATTTGTACCTTCAACATCTTTTCAAACTGTCAAGAACAAATGAAGCAATGGGTTTTTTTTTTTTTTTTTTGGGAATATTACGGTTAAATTTATAATAAGAGTATTACAAAAGTATGGGTCAAGGTGACCCACAGACCAGGTCTCTCAACCAAAAAATGGTCATTAAGGAGTGACTTGTACTAAAAGTTTGGCTATGACATCACCGGGGAGGCAGAATACAGGGATGTTCAAAGAAAGGGCCTTATAGAATAAGCCCATTACAAGAGAGAGAACTGCCAGATGGGAAGGAGGAGGCATCCCACCGAGGCACAACGCAAAAGCAGGAGATAGCTGTACGAAAAATGTTTGGACTTCCTCTGAGACACAGCTAGGCTTGTGCTGAACGCTGGTTCCTAGCGGCTTCCTTGGCGAGGCAATCTGCGAAGTCGTTGGACGTTCTCCAAATATACGTCCATGAGACGTTTATACCCTTGCAAGTATGCGCAATTTCGTAAAAAATGTGTGCTAGGTACCAAGGAGGAGGGGCCTTTCTGACAACCTAGGATATAATGTTTTTGACATCTCCCTCGATGTACAGTCGTGGGCCCCATGAGGGGTTAAATTTCCTGGTTCCCATCAACAGGTCGTGGCCTCTGCGATCTGTGAATCTTTGTGGCTAAGGTGTTCTGAGAAGGATGAGATGACTTCACCGTTATGGTCACGGAAGACCCCTCCGGTGCCCGTTGGGCCTGGATTTCCCAAGGAGCATCCACCAAAATTGAGCTTAATATCTCCCACCAAGGGGGGAGTCCAGTTCGATGCTCTTGGGTTGCTGTGAGCGGTGAGTTGAATAAGGTTCACCCAGTTGCACAGGAAACTAGCTGCCGAAATCCAAGTGAACAGGCTGTGGTTGGAAGCCCAAAAGATTGCCATCGAAGTAACCTTGTGGAACAGCGCTAGGAGTTTGCTTTTGACACCACGGAAAATTTTCGAATTTCTTTATAGCCAAATGGTCCACAATGTTGTGGCTAAAGACGCTTTCCAAAGGGGATCTTGTTCGACTTCAGTCAGTTAGATTCAAAGGAGCAGGATGGTAACGCCGGAGTTGAAGGGGGGGGAACCCAAGATACTCCAAAAAGTTAGATAATTCTACTTAAAAGTTGAAAGGCAAACTGACAATGAATGAACAAGTGGGGGTTCGTTTCTTCCTCACATAGGCACATGACGCACCTATTGGGAGTTTGGACACCTCTTCTCTGGAGTATGTCTATAGTAAGTGCATGTTCAGAACACGCAATCCAGTGAAAGGCTTGCACTTTTGGAAAGGCTACGGATGACCACACTTTGGAAAACACAGGGTTCGGGTTAGGGGGAAAGAAAGTTGCAACAATTTCTTATAAAAGGAGGCCACTGTGAAGGAGGCGATACGCGAGGGAGGCCAGACCAATGTGTCTATCCTCGAGAAGGCGAGAAAGGTGGAGTGGAGGGAATTCGAGAGGGACATGAACTCCAAGGTTTCTTCTTCTGTGAGGGTCTCCCAAAGGATGGATTCCAAACCCAGCAATTGCTTGAAAGTACCATTTCCTTGGAGACCAGGATGGCTTTATTAACTGCCACGGCGAATAGAGAGGGGAATCATTCTCTAAGTAGGGTGTGACCTAACCAGAGGTCAGACCAAAATTGCACTCTAGCCCCCCTCCTCTAGCATGGAACCAAATGAGTTGTTTAAAAGGTCGGAGGGAGAACAGTAATGATTTCCATACTCCCGAGCCCCTGGTCGTTGGGTAACCCTTAGGCAACCAAAGGTCTAGTGGGATAATATACTTGCAGTGAAAAACTTGGGCCCACAGCTAGCAGTTCTGAGTGGCCATCCTCCACCACCATTTTCCCAAGAGCGCAAGGTTGTGTATCCTAAGCACTTTGATCCCCAGACCGCCCTGGTGTTTCGGGAGACAGACTCTATCACACGCAATGTGGTGGATCTTATTTGTCGCTGCTTCACCTAATCAGAGGAAGTTTCTTGTCAGTTGGTCTAGGCGTTTAGCAATCGAGGCTGGCAGATGGAATAACGACATGAGGTATACGGGGGAGTTTGCAAGGGGTGCTTTGATAAGCATTGTTCTCCCTGCAAAGGATAGGTATCTGCCTTTCCATCCTGCCAACCTTCGATCTACTCTGTCGATTACATGAGCCCACTGAGCTTTCTTTGGCTTCCCCAGTCCCAAGGGCATGCCCAGATACGATGTGGGTAGGTCCTCCATTGTACATTTCCAATAGGGAATGAGGTTTCTAGTTTGGGTGTTGGATAGGCCTACTCCAATCATTTTGGACTTGGCCATGTTCACTTTGAACCACGTCGCGTACTCGAAGCAGATCAGAAACAACCTGACGTTTTCGATTCCTCTAGGGTTGCATCCAGGAAGACTAGCGTATCGTCAGCATATTGCATATGAGATACACACAGGCCGTTCTAACTGCTTTTAAAGTCAGAGAGAAGTCCCTCTTGATATAGGCAGGAGATACACTAGCTAAATACTTCTGCAGCCACGGTGAAGAGGAAAGGAGAGAGAGGGTCTCCATGGCAAAGGCCCCTAGAGGAAGGGAAGTACCCTTTTGGTGACCCATTGATGAGGATAGAGAACAAAGGATTGGAGTAGCAACCCCTCATCCAGTTCCTCCAACGATCCCCGAATCCCATCCTCGACAAGGCTAGGTCAAAAATGGGCTAATCCACGTGGTCCCAATCTATCTTGAAAATTAAGCCCGGATTTTGTTGCGGTGGTGAGTGTGTATGCACTCATGGCCACCAGCACCCCATCTAGTATCTGTCGATCCGTGATGAAGGCTAACTGTGAGGGCGAAATGATAAGGGGAAGAACCTGTTTGAACCTGGAGACCAATACTTTGGATAGGATTTTATATGTAGAGTTAACCAGACTGATTAGTCGGAAGTCCTTCAATTCCTTAGCCCCTTCTACCTTCGGAACTAGCCCAATGAAGGTGGCACTGATGGCTTTGTGCAGTTTTCCACGATGGAAGATTTCATCGAAGAAAAGAAGGAAGTCATTCCTAAAGGTACCCCAAAAGGTTTTAAAAGGTGGGATTGGGAATCCGTCTAGACCGGGGGCCTTGTCTTTTCCCAAGTCCTCAATCGCTATAAGGATTTTATACATAGAGTTAACCACACTGATTGGTCGGAAGTCCTTCAATTCCTAAGCCCCTTCTACCTTAGGAACTAGCCCAATGAAGGTGGCACTGATGGCTTTGTGCAATTTTCCACGATGGAAGATTTCATCGAAGAAAAGAAGGAAGTCATTCCTAAAGGTACCCCAAAAAGGTTTTAAAAGGTGCGATTGGGAATCCGTCTGGACCAAGGCCTTGTCTTTTCCCATGTCCTCAATCACTATAAGGATTTCAGACTCGAAGAAAGGGCATTCCAACCAATCAGCTCAGTGAGAAGGGAGAGATCGGAAGGGAAGAATACCATTCTCGATCCGGGATACGAAGGGGCTTAATAAAGACTCTAGAAGTAATTAAGGATGGCATGTTCAATGTCCGAGTAGGGTCCAAGAACAGTTTACCATCTTTAATCGTGGAGATGGAGTTATCTCGTCGGCGGCAGTTTGCTATCCTATGAAAAAAGCCAGTGTTCTGGTCCCCTGATTTTAGCCAAGTAACTCGGGATCATTGGTACCAGTGCAACTCTTCCATTTTCAGGGTAGAGAGATAGTCCAACTTCAACTTCAACTTCAATCTAAGGCTAGCCTAGAGGTCGATAGAGGCCTCGATTCCTCCGTCACTTCTAAGGTTTGGAAGGAGTTCAACAGGCTTTGCGTAGTAAGTGAGAAATTTCAAGGAAGGGAGGAACTCCAAGTTTTAAGGGAGGCTTTGAGAAGTTGGAGTTTTTTTTGCAGCCTAAAGCCAACTCTGCCGAAGACTTGGGTGGAGAAGGAATTCCACCATGCCGGAATTAGTGAAGACAGAGCTTCTTCTTCGAACCAAGTGAGTTCAAACCTAAACAATTTGGGGGCTCTAGGGACTGCTGAGGTGTCCAAGAGGGTAGGGCAGTGGTCTGAAATAGGTTTAGGCAGGGCTAAAGTGTGGGAACTGGAGAATATCTCGTCTCAGGAAGGGGAGATCAGAAACCTATCCAGTTTGGACAATTTCGGTCGAGAGCCATGGTCCGACCAAGTAAACCGGTTCCCTTGAAGTGGGATATCTATTAGCTCATTGCGAGATATGAAATCTGAAAAATCCAACATTCCTTGGTAAATGTTGGAGTTGGAGTTCATCTCGAATGCCCATCTAGTTATGTTGAAGTCCTCACCCAAGCACCACGAGGGATGAGTGAGGGCTGCCAAGAAGTCTAGTTCAGCTCAAAGGAGAGTTCTGAGATGAACTGAGTTGGGACTATAGATTGCGAAAAATTACCACTGAACACCATCAGACAGTCTAGAAAGTAGCGTTGTCACCGAGTATTTCCCAATGTTGGAGGAAATAAGATTGTGCTCAGTAGGATTCCATACCACCAAGATACCACTTGAAGACCTTGTCGCAGGTAGAGAGAGCCACTGACAAGGTTTCCTGCCCCAAACCTGCCGAATCAACTGAAGAGTGGGATCCTGTAGTTTGGTCTCGGTTAGGGCTAATACAGTGGGGCAGTGTGTTTAACGCACACGTCCCTCACTGCATTTCGTTTGCACGGCTGTCTCAGGCCGCGGATGTCCCAGGATAGGATTTTCATAGCCTCTTCCAAGGGGAGGCTAAGGAGGCCAATCTGGGAGACCTCCTGGTGCTGGAGTCCCACGACGGGGTGGCTGGGAAAGAGGACAAGGGAGAAGCCAAAGGTTGTTGTTTGTCGTAATTCACCGAAGAGAAGAGATTAAGGATCTCTCTATGGCCTTTAGAACACACCTTCAAACGACAGTCAGCGTCCGACGATAAGTGGTGGAGGGGTCCTTCTAGACCGTCGATAGGAAAGCCCATGACCCTGAAGATTTCTAACATCTTTTCTGATTGTCTGTCCACCTGCTTGCTGGTTGAGCCAAACTCACTTTCTGGCGTGACGTGATCTCCCCTATGAACAAGAGAAGAAGGGTTCAAGGGTTGCGGCTCCTCACGGGGGGAGAGTCAACGATAACGGAGGAGGAAGAGGTGGAGGGAAAGGGGGAGGGGGGGGGGGGAGGGGGGGGGGGGGGCAGCTCAAGGGTCGGGGGAGGAGGGTCAGAAAGCGAGAGATCAAAAAAAGAAGCCGAAGAAGGGAAGAGACCCGAGTGGGGGAAAGGTGAAAAAGAAAACCGAGGGGAGGTGGGCCTGTCCTAAGAAAGGCTCGGGGCCACAGAGAGAGGAGAAGTCACACCTTCCACGGAAAGGGAAGGCAAGGGGCCAAGGGAGTTGAAGAAGGGGGGGTCCGAGGAGCAACAAGGGCCGTAGACCTGAGGCCTCCCTAGGTAGAAGGCCGGGTTAAAGGAGATGTGAAAGCAAGGTTGAGGGAGGTCATCGATCAGGATGGCCGAGTGAGGTAGCACAGAATGCCCATGGAGACGGAGAAGAGGAAGGTTGGGGGTCGACACAAGGCAGATAGGCTCCAGGTGGGCAGTGAAGGGGAAGAACGGGGCGAGGATCGAGGATAGGAGCGATCCGAAACGCACACAGCCACCACCACAAAAGGGTACTGCGACCAATCCATAAGTAACTGGGAAGGGGGAGGACAGGGAGGAGCAGCTACAAGGGATATTTCCCGAGAGAGGAGGGGAAGACGAGGGGGCAGAATAGCGAACAGGAGACAGTTTAGCAGAGGCGGTTTCAGGGGGGGGAAGTGGCAAGAGGGAGCTCAGACGGGGTAGAAGAGACAAGGAGATGGGGAGCGAGAGCGGAAAAGAACGGAGGTGAGCAGATGGCAAGAGGGAACAAAGAGAAGAGGGCTGGGAGGTTGAAGTCATCCTCGGTAGTGATACCGAGGCACGAAGGGTCCGTCGGCGGATTCATGGACAACAAGGCATAGGATGACGGAGGGGTTGTCAGTGGCACGTCACGCTGGGAAGGTGACTTGTCCTGGGCGTTCGAAGTCATGTCGCGCCAGAGACCCGACCAGTGAAGGAGGCTCGAAGCTGGGAGTGAAGGCGATGGCAGCAAACTGATAATTGCCGAAACTGAGGGATGAGCGGAAACCCTCTAATCAAGCGACTTGGCGAGTGGCACACGATAGTCTTGACAACCTGGATCCTCGAGGGAGACGAGGGAAGGTGACACACCAATGAAGGTCTAGACTCCATCCCCGAGGGAGTCGAGGGGCCCGTAAGGCCCGACGAATGAAGTTAGCCCAATCTCTCATCAGAAGAGCAGGCATCATTGCCGATCTGGGAGCCGAACAGATACTATTCCCTAAGAGAAGGACGGCAGACAGCACTTGTGCACGTGGTGTCCGCGTGGCGAGGTGGGATTGCAAAACCAAGCGGCAAAGACAGCAATAAGGACACTTGGTGGCGTGGCTGCAAAGCTCGTGCCATGCGCCAAGGAAGCTTGGCGACCATCCCCGATTTTAAGCTAGCATCAAAGCGGCTCTTGCTAAGGGTGACATCAGTAGTGGTTACCAACTGTTGGCGGCTGCTGGAAGGGCGTCGCTTCCTGGACACCAGGTTTCAGTCCAACAGTTTGGGTCTCTGAGGTATCCGATCATGGGGGTGATTAAAGAAGGAAGCAGAGGCCAGAGACCCCGGGGAGGAAATGGAGAGGGGGAAGAAGGAGTTTTCCACCTTAAGCCAAATAATGGGGGGAATGAGCTGAGTATCGAGGACCTCAAGAAGGAGGAGCATGGAGCAAAGAGGTAGAAACTCCAATGATTTCCAATGGATAGCGACCAAAGAACCGCAAGCTTCGGCCACTTTTTTGAAGATCACTGGTGACCACGCATGTAGTGGGATATCTGCCACCGTAATCCAAATACTCTGCTTCCTATAGGACCCCTCTAGAGGCGACCATGGGAGAAGTTTTAAAATTGCCCCTCTGAAAGGAAGGGAGCTTTCTTGAGAAATTATCCGGGCACACTCCAAATGAGGGGAAGCAAGAGAGAATTCGTCCCTTGGACATGCGCCAGCATGTCACTTGAGGCTCACCCCAGCGGTGCTATTCCCATTTCTCGATGCCCTTAATGTCATCCCGTTGAGGAGAGAAAGATCCCACTAGAGGATATTGTAGTTGGCTATAAGGGGGTGGGCAAGCTCCACCGGTATGGAAAGAATCACAGGCAGAAAAGGGGAGCTACATTCCTGAGGCTTAGACGCAAGATCGGGAGGGGAGCGAGTACCTCAATGGAGAAATTGCACGCAAGGTTGGACGAAGGGTGGCGAGAGGCGACCACTTGAGCGTAAGAGGGTGGAGCACAGGCTGCGGATACTTCGGATGCAAAGTTAAGCTGGGTGGTTTTAGGGTAGAGATTGTAAATAGCGTTCCAAGATGAACGAGAGGAAGAAGCCACGGTGTTTTCTCATGTCTTTGTTGGTATCACAATGAAGCAACGGTTAAAACCAATGAAAGTGTCTAGGGAGGTTCTTTGGACAGATATTGAAAATTATAGGTCTCCCAGCCAAAGGTTTATGGATATTTATGAGTTTTTTTCCATTTGATTATACACCTTATTCACATGCAGCTTTGGATGGGAAGATATTGTTGAAGCAAACTTGGAGAATAGATGAAAAAGGAAAGAAAAAAAAACATATGACTTAGATTCCAAAAAAATAAAGACAAATAAAAAAAAAAAAACATAGGCATATCATTGATAGAAGGTGGCTTTAGGCTTTGGTAGCCAGGTTGACCTTCACAGATGACATTATTGTATTTTTTTCCTTCTTTTTTTTTCCTTTTTGCTTTTGGGTAGATCAGTGTGAATATAGGCCCCTAACAGTTCTTAGAAATGGTTAATGGTTTTCAAAAGCAATAGTGGGAATGGGAACCTAGACCGGTAGTTGAGGCTCAGGTGGTGCTACCACCACGACCTCAACCCCATTCTCACATTATTGTGAAATTTCAAATATAACTCAAGTGAGTCTTAAACTTGGACATGCCAACACAAGACACAAAAAAGTTCTAAATCATTCATTTGAATCTCACAAGGAAATATTGGCTCCTACCACGTGGTTTGGCAAGGGCCCAAGGGAAGTTTAGTCAGCTAAATGCCAAATTGGCTTATAGTATTTTTAAACCACATCAAAAGAGTACCTGCTTTGATCTTCAAGGAAAAACTTGAGGATTTTCCAGAATAGCAACAATACTATCTGGCTGGCAATCATCGATCGAACATCATGAGAATGCGCCTGAGTCTAAAAAATCGTGAATCCCAAAAACTAACTCTCAAAACATTCAAAAACTCGAACTCAACCCTCACATTTTCAAAGAAAAAAGTAAGTGAACTCCCCCAATTGTACGGATTTAGTTAAAAAATAGTGATTTCTTCAATTATGGAAAAAACATATACAAAAAAAATACTCACAAGTGTCTAAGAAATCGGGACTCAGGCTCAACTCACTAGAGTCCCAAAGACCTAATGGGATGCTGAGTCTAGATGAACAAGACCAAAACTTGAGGGAGTCATCTCGAGTCCAGGTCCCCATATTTATTTTACCCAGAGACTTGGCCTCGTCTGTGGCTGACTCGAGCTCAAGATCCTAGCAAGTCAGAGCTTTTGAGAATGTTGACTTTATATATGTATAAAAGGATTACAACTAGAATAGAAGAGAGAAGAAAGCTATCCACGAGTGGATAGCAAAAGTACTAAGACCCTTCAAGAAAAAATGGGGGAGAAGAGGAAGAGAAATAGAATCAAAAGCCTTCTTTTTGAAGGCTACATTGATACTTACAAAAAGCCTTCTTTTTGAAGGTTACATTGATAGTTACAATGCAACCAACTAAAAGAAACCGATCCTAAAAATGCGTCTTATAATCCTTCAACGGCTGCCTCTTCCTTGGCCAAGGCATCCGCCTCCTGTTTGACTCCCTTCAAATATGCCTCCATGAGATGCGCATAGCCCTGCAAAGATGGTAAATTTCATCAAAGATATGAGCTAGAACCCAAGAAATGGAGGAAAGGTTTTCAGCCCAAGTTCTTGGAGTCAGCCTCTATTGTAACAGTCCCCTTTGTGGTTAGTGGCCCGGAAGACCAACTTAGACCTAAGTTTCACAAAGAGAAGGTTCAACGAAGTGTACTCCCCTCGAAAAATCCAATTGTTGCGCTCAATCCACAGCGCCCAAATCATACCTGCTTGAGCTGCTTTGGGCCACAGAAAAGGTTGGATAGCAGAAGGGATGAGGGATACTTCTTTGGGAAGTACCCACTGTACTTTGAAAAGGGAGAGAAGCTTTCCCCAAATCGTAAAGGCAAAAAGGCAGTGCAAAAATAAATAGGGATTGGACTCCTCATCCGCTTGGCAGAGAATGCAACGATTAGGTACAGGGATCCCTCTCCTTTGATGTTGATCTACTGTAAAAACTTTCTTAGATAGCGCAATCCACAAAAACACCTGAATTCTAGGCGGAGCTAAGGAACACCATGCTTGGGACACTATTGAAGAGGGGTTAAGAGGATAGGTAGGGGGTTGGGTAAGCTGCAAGTAAAAAGAAAACACCGAGAAAACCCCTATAGCAGAAGGGGTCCAAATGATTTGGTTTTGCCCTTGTTAGGGAAGAAAGCAATAAGATAGGGAGTTTGGGAGGTCTAAAAAAAGGTTGACCTGTGCGTCGGTGAGGTCTCGCCTAAAGAGAGGATTCCAAGATCTAGAATCAGAGCTGAGTCATTGTTTCCAAACAATTATTCCTACCAACAAAAAGATTCAGACTTTAAACCAAGTCTTACAGAGAAACACAATACTATCACAATCTGTAGTATGTTTGGCATTAATTCTGGCATACTTTATTTAGATACGGAAAAGCTCAGGTGAATCCAAGTTTTCATAATAAAACTCAGGAAACCTGTAAGTCAAGTTGACTTAGACAAGTTGCAAAAACATGACAGAAGGTTTTGCCCTCTGATTCAATAGATTTTGAACATGACACAGAAAGGATCATGCTAGGGCAGAAGGGACATGAACTACTTCTAGGATAACAAAAAATTTAAATAAAAACCAGCCCAACTTGTCAATCAGAGTTCAAAAAGTGAATCATCTTAGGCAACCAGAAGAAAAAAAAAGAACAATAGTTCCCAAAAGGGTGTTGGGGGGCATTTACCCCACTTTTATCCCCCCAATCAAAAAACAATTTGTGCTTTCTTCAAGTGGGAAAAAGACCCAAAATTTTGGTCCTCTGCGATTTTTCTCAAGATCAAAAAAAATTTAAAAGGTTAGTGTCTTAAAATATTTGAATTAGGGTTTGGTACTTTTGTGTAAAATAGGTTTCAAAAAACAATAAGGGTTATGACTTGTTTTTATTTCCCTTTTGGCTTCTGCTTTAGGAGTTTTAACAAGTTCGGCTTTAGATTATTGGCCATATTCGAAAGTAGGTTTTTTTTTTTTAATAATGTTAACTGTATATTCAAATGTAAGTTTTGGCTTGAATTTTTTCGAAATTTTCTTAGGATTGGTAGCCCAATCTCAGGAAAAGTCATTAATCTCAAAACAAATGGATATTATTTGGTGATTTCTCTTTAATTCTTGATAGGGGCATACAGCATTTGTAACTTACATTACATAGTTGATTACTTTATTGATTCCTTATTAAGGTTTGATTTGTTTCATCCGGGAAACAACTTTTTTTCTTTTTTTAATTACTAAACAAATTGCGCTTTAAGTTATTTTACTTGCATGAAGACCTTAGAATAGTGTTTTGCAAATTAATAATTATTTCTTCTTTTTACTTACTTACATTGGTGTATGTTTAATATCTCATATCAAAATTTGGGTAATCGGATATTTGCATTGTTTAGTGAACTTATCAAGTTTCTTGCTTTCTTTATTTAATACTTCAAATTGATTTCTTCTATTGTACAGACCTAAACTTAAACTGGATTACTTCATTCAAACTTTGATTTAGTAAGAGGCAAGTGGGTCATGAATCGTGATAAGTCGACAATGTCTTCAACTGGCTCAGGTAGGCAAGTTGATCTGGGTTTGAAATGCTTGTCAAGCAAATTCTGCAAGAAGTCTTATAATGTCAACAATAATAGATTAAAGAAACATTTGGCCACACTAGAGGGCTATGGCCCCGTGTATTCAAGTGCTGAGTGAGACAGCAATGTAAGAGCACTTGCAAGGGGTCAAAAAGAAGAAAGAGGAGGCAAAGAAAGAACATGATGATCTTATGAGGCGCATGGATATATTGGTAGTTCAAGAAGAAGAACAAGAAGATGTATGTGCCAAGGACGGGTACTCTAGTAGGCCGATAGGGTTTAAGCAAAAGAAGCTTCGAGCAAGGCCGCCTAAGGATTCTTAGTACCCCTCCCCCCAGATCTTAAGATTGCAGTGCAAGAAAGGGGGCAGACAACTATAGAGAGACACTTTAAGAAAGAAGATAGAGACAAAATGTCTCAATATGCAGCTTGATAATCTATCAAGAAGGCATTCCAATCAATGGCGCTAACTCGAAGAGATTCAAAACTATGTAGGAAGCAATGGGTCAATTTAGGCCAAGGTGTAAGGCATCAACAGCTTATGAGCTCAAGGAGCCATTGCTTAAAAAGTAGGCGGAGGTCCCAAATAATTTTTTGAAGACACACAAACACATGGGTGATGTTTGGGCTCACTATTATGACCAGTGGATGGTCTAAAAAGAGAAACAAAAGTGTCATGAACTTTATGGTGAATTACCCATCACGGATAAGACCCATGATGAGAAATGCATTTGAGTTGGTGGACCAATGTATAGAGGAGGTGGGGGAGAATCACGTGCTCCAAGTAGCGACTAACATGGCTGCAGCCAATATGGCAGCTTCTAGCTTATTGGCGGTGAAGAGGTTGTGATTTTCGGTCCCTTGGGCAGCGCGCTGCATAGACCTCATGCTTGAGGCTATTAGCAAGATGAAGGTGGTAGCGACAACATTGAAGAAAGCAAAGACCATCACAGTTTATTTATATAGCCACAACCAGGTAAGTTCCAAACTTTTCCAATATGAATTGTTGTTTTGAATTCACAGAAGTTATGTAAGTTGTGCTATAGAATTAAGTTGATAAATATCTACGTTTAATCTCAAGTTCGTAACTTCCAAAAGACCTTAATGTGTATATGATGCATGTTCTCAATTCGCCAAATCTTAGACATGATGAAAAAGTACACAAATAATGGAGAGTGAGGCCTGGGATGACTAGACTTTTCACCTCCTTTTTGTCTTTACAATCCATATTGGAACAGAAAGAAAAGCTTAGGATCATGTTTGTTTGATAAATTGGACCAAAAGCAAGTTGTCCAAGAGGGCAGATGGGAAAGTAGTAGTTAGAATCATTTTGGATTCTCATTTTTGGAATAGAGTTCAGTTTGCCATGAGTGTTTTTCGCTCATTGGTAAAGGTATTGTAGTTGATGGATACTAAGAAGGAACCGGCAATGAAAAACGTTTATAAAATAATAGAGGTTGCCAAAGATGACATCAAGAAAAAAATTTGGTGATGATGAAGCTAAATTTGCTACTTAAAAAAATTATAGAAGAGAAGTGGAACTCACAGCTTGAGAGGCCTCTGCATTAGTAGGGTATTATAGTAATCATGGTCATTTCTACACTAATCATGAGATACACAACAAGAGTGAGTTTATGGATATACTAAACTAGTGCAACATTAAACTTAACCATTATCTACATATCCAAGACAAAGTGTCAATTGACTCCAATAAGTAAAGATTCTAAGAGGAATCGCTTGGAACGGACTTGGCAATAAGGTAGAGGACCAAGTACTCTCTTGGTAAGTTTAGAATTTATTCATTTCAATTAAGATTTGGGTATTTAGTTCTAATAATACAGCGACATTTATGTATTCCATTTTCATTTATGTAAAACAGTTGCGTAGTGGACAAATCATGGTGAAAGCAACCCACATTTGTGACAGATGGCTCTGCGTATATTGAATTTGACATTTAGCTCATTTGGTTGCTAGTGCAACTTCAACACATTTGAAATGGTAATTATTTAACCATCCTCTGCGCCTTAAATTACATCTCATTACGTATTAGTCAGTAGTTACTACACTATCCCGTATCATGTTTTTCAAAGTTCTAGTGCTAGTTTGGACTTTGGATGTCAAATAGATAGAACTTATTGCGCTAAAAATTACAAGTTTTCAATTATGAAGTGAAAGAAATTATTTTTTTCTTTTCGTTTTTTAATCTCTACGAGTGTTTTAGGTGTTCAAATGTATTTTTTAGGTATCCCCACCCCAAGTCAGCTACTCAACCGACACTCTTCCCAGAACACCTCACTACTTCTCCTCCTCTTCGAATGATGTCTACCCAAACCTTAACCAGAAAATCTCCAATGAGCCTACGGCTGCTACATTTTCCAGGCTTCCTCCAGGAAAATGTAATTTCTAGCAACTTTAAACTCTTGGACACTCATTCTCTCTATAAAAGACAAACATAGCTTCCCAATTTCTCTTGAAACAACTCTCTAAATAGGAAATGGAACGAAAGAACTTCTTATCGAATTTACAAATGCCTGAAGATAATTTTCTATGAATCCTGTAAAATGGGTTAAATTCTACCAATTTTAAGCACCCCATAATTTCCTGCCTCAGAAAATTTTAAAGAAGCCAAAATAGCCAAACCAATCGAAAACTTCATTAACGGGTAACTTCATCCACAGAAAAATTTTATAATATACAGCACAAAAAAAATAAAAAAGAAGAAAAAAAAAGACCCAAAAAAAAGAAAAGAAAAAAAAAAAAAAATAGAAGAAAGACCTGAAGCATGTCCAGGTATAAGAAATCTTTGAGATGCAAGAGTAGGATATTCATACCATATATCTTCCTTCTAATCCTCTTGTTCACTCTAATCCTTATTAAGGAACGGTCAAGGGTCCATGGTGAGATCAAAAGCCAGGACAAAGAGAGCTAGA